GCTTACTAATTTAAAAGTTATAGCATGAAAACTATAACAAGCACAAAATGGTTACAAGAGTTTCAATCTTAATTTGGGTTTTATTGAGAGGGAAGTTGCCTGCACAGTATATGTGCTTATATCAAGTTAAGCATATTTTTATGGCATAATTTGCATTAAAGACATTAGATTGTCTTTACATGTGCTTATAGAATTTTGATTCATTCAGATTTAACATTACTAAATTAAAAATTAATATTCTTACTCTAATAGAACAAACTAATTGCAGTCATCAAAATTTTTACACTACATTTCTTATGAAGATGAAGCAAATGCCTTAATTATATTTCCATTTTTATTCTTGAAATTTCAAGGTTTCATTTTGTTGATATAAAATGTACAACATCTGTGATGTAAAGTAACAGTTTTTTATTTTGTAGCTACAGTGTTTAATATTATATACTAAATGAAATTCTGGCTTAGCTTGTGTCAGTTTTATTTTTCTGTTGTTTTTTTAAATATAATATTAATCTAATATCTTTCACTGGTTTTTAGCCAAGTAGACATCCATCAACAAGACATGAGCAACGATTGTTACTTAAGATCATTAAAGCTACTGGCCTTGGTGGTAAAAAAGGTAAAATCTCTCCATAATTATAAGGTGCATTTATTGTGACAAAAATGAAATGTTTTACAGCATGCTAAAAACCTTTAAATGAAAGTTTTCTAATGAAATTCCTTATGTTGAAGAAAATGTGAATTTATGATGGCTTTAAACATCTTTTGTAATTTTTTAAGTAATGCCATTTGCTTATAAAATTGAAGTTGAGTGACAGTTAATGTATTGATTTTTGTGTTGTATGTTATTCTTGCTATTTTAGTAGGATTAACAGATTTTTGCTACATTTTACAGTAGACTAACGAAGCCTTTACCAAATTTTTTTACCTTGAAGCCCAGACCCCAACCCAAGAACATACACATAGTGACTGATTACTCCCCCCCCCCCCCAATATCCTAATGGGCCTGGTCCATTAGACTTACCCAGACTGGAGAAGGAATATTGACTATAATCCTGAATTTACTCAGTGTATCTATGTGAAATGTTGCAAGCTTTTAGTAAAATGTACAGGTCTGTTGTACAAAAAAAAATCAGATGAGTTACAAATGTATTTACACTTGACTACATCAGCCTGACTGAGACTGACAAGTCAGAGTGCAAGGTGATATTCTTGAAAAGAATAAAGATAATTTTGTCTATCATATAGTTTGCATATGCAAATGCATATAACCTTTACAATCTCCAAATGCATATGTACAGGTCTTTTGTCAGTATTCTTGTATATTGTATCTGGTATTTACTTTCTTCTACCATTTACTGTTGCTACATCAACAGCGTAGGGTAACATGAATAGCTCTGACATAAAATGCATAATACCATGTTGAATAGCATTTTGTAAAAAGTTGTGGCTTGCACCCCCCCCCCTAACGGTCACTTTGAGGTACCTTTTTATCATTGCCATTTACAAGCTTAAACAAGAATGTTTAATTGTATATATTAATATAAATGAAATTATCACTAAAACATTGATTTGTCTTTTGTGTCAGGGAAGTTTTAGAGAATATTTCTATATTTATTGAGGCACCCCCTCCCAAGACCATTTCATGAATTTCAGTTTGGGAACCACTACACTGATACTAGGCTTGAGTGGTGAAAATGCAAGAATTATGCAAGATCACAGTATACAGTGTGTTAATAATGCAATGTTGTGAAAATCCTGCAACCGTGTGCATAATTAGATTTGGCACTGTTCGTGCTTATATATTAAGAACTACAGTTGCTTAGATGGCATTTTAAACTTCTTAATTAGCTCAGAACAAAATAAATATTTAAAAAGATATTATTAGAACACTGCTAACTTCTCTTCCTTTCATTTTGCATGTGTAAACAATGAGACTTTGCAAGAAAGGATTTTAATTTAGTTCACCAGTGGGTCAGTGGTAGGTTTACGAAACTGAGTCCCTGCAGAGGACATACCACAGGTTGACCATTGTGTTGCTTTTAAATTTTATCTTAATTGCAATTAAAGCATTTGATGATAGTAGATAATTTTTGTTATTTAGTAAATAATACATTAAGTCAAAACAACAAGAAACTAAAAAGCAAACATAACACTCTTTTCTTGTGAATATGTTAATAACAACATGAAAAAGTGTATACTTATGTGATTTTAATGAATTTGTAGCAAAACATCTGTATAAACAACTGAAAAAAGGATTTCTGAAAGCTAATCCAAACTTACTCAATTCTAAAGGTTATTTCTGATATTTTGTGAGTGTCCTGTTATACATTTAAGAATTCATTTCATGTTAAGACATTTAGTTTAAATATATATTAATACCAATTGTATCTAATTAACCATGTTTGAAATTTGAATAAAGCAAAACATAATCAAATAATGTCAGCTACATTTGCATGAAGTTAAATGTTTTTTTTTTAAATATACTGTGCTAAAACCTGAAAATCTTACTAAATATGACACACCACCAAGTATATGTGCACAATTTAGTAGTACAGTGTTTACCAGCAAGATTTATTCAGACATGTTAGTAGAGCTATCAAATTTCTGGCTGCCTTCATTTTTAGGCAGGAGTCTTAGAACAATAGTCATGCTCAACCCCAGGACTTGAGATTTTTGGCATATATATCTGTATAAAGTCACTAAATTACCAGGACATCATACTTAACAAAAAAAAAAGTGTAGTATAGTTTGATTTTAGATTAATATATTTATAAAAGTAATTTTTACTTTTTTAGTTCCTGTTATCACTTTTTAACCTTCTTACATGCAATATTTTGATAGCCAATTTTAGCATGATAGACGTTTTTACAACACGTATCAAAATTGTTGTTTGTTTTGATTTTTGTTCTGCTTAACAGAATGAACATACATAGTAATTATTCATAAATCTTAAAGCAAGACTGGTCAATTACAAATAGCTGTTTAAGTGCAGTTTTCTTACTGAATAAATGTTTGTAACTTTGACATACTTTAATAAAATATAATTGTTTTAATAGTATTGGGATTATTTATAAACATGTATCTTTACAAAAATTTGACAAGTGTGATCACATAATATAAAATCGTTGAAATTAGCTTATCGGAAAAAAAATTATGGATAATTTATCACAGCTGTATTGCATATGTGTAATTAGTTTTACTAATGTTTAAAATGTAACTGAGTAATGACACAAATCCCAAGAAATGCATCTGATAACTAACCGTTAATTAATTAACAGTATACACTGTCTTTATTTAGCAATGTCCAATTATTAACTGGTACATCATAGTTTCAATATTCAGGATATTGTGAAGTGAAATTTACAGATATAATTGTATTTTATGAAATCCATATCTCAAGCATACAATATATGTTTCTGATAAATTCTTCCAAAGTCTATAATAACAGTCTCTCTACAAATATTGAACTGAAAAAAATATTTAAAATACTGTATTATAAGCAATAAAATACTAATTAAAGTAGTGTTAATATTTTTCTCCCTCATCTGTAAAGAAATTTATGGATTTACAATAAGGTACATTTGTGGTATTACAGTACACCACCGATTTACCAGCAACTGATAGTCCGGCACCTCCTTTAACTCTTTCAATGCGGGCTCAGACCCTAGAACCGACCTTGTAACCATTTTGTGCTTGTTATAGTTTTCATGCTATAACTTTTAAATTAGTAAACGAGTGTTAACGAAATTTGGCAGTTTATCAGTAAACATTACAATGCTTGCATATGCAAAATATTTAATTTTTTTATTAAGTCTTAAGGTTTGTAAAGCAATGTTTCTCATAACTTTTTTTTTTCTTTTCACATCTTGCCTATCTATCATTCAGAGTAATTTTCATTTTAAGATTAAAAATACTTTTATGCATCAGAAAATTTTGAAATTTCATATGCAAAATCTTTATAATGTCCAGATAGTTATCAAACATTTCTTAAGATATACCCACAGTAGTAACATTTCTTAGCTACATCTACCACAAGACAATACACACACTGCTACACAAAACATCATGCTGTACATGTTGTGCAAAATTATGCATTATGATATTTGCATGATACCTAATACACGATGCACATATACCATCTCATTGTGTGTCTCACCATGTAACTGCTAAATTTTATGCAGTTGGCACTGTAAGCAATTGAAATCTTTAGCTCAACACTTCTAAACTTTTAATTTATAAAATCAAAAATTTAGGTTGTATAATTACACAAAAAATTAATTCAAAAATTAATGTATCTAAAAATCTTTATCTCCTAGGTTGTCAAGATCCTTACTGTGTTGTTAAGCTGAATGAACCATTACAGAGGTTTCAAACATCCCCAGCAAAAAACACAAACAACCCATTTTGGGATGAACCTTTTCTTTTGTAAGTTTTGAATGTGCTAGAAATGCTAGTTTTGTAAACACACAATTAAAATATATATGAACTGTAGTTTTATGTGTATGTACAGAGCTTCCAAATTTGTGAACCTTGCTTGTATTTCACTTTTCAATAAGGAAAATTATTTCATTATTTTAAGTTTGCATTACAATTATTTGAAAGAAAAAAGTGTTATTTATCGGTGACTAATAATTGTATTTTGAAGTTGGCTAAAACTTGTGCATAATTTGAATTATGTTGTTGGAGTCCTGGTAGTTTTTTCATATTTTATTATTTACCTCATTTGTGGTGTTGAACTAATTCCTGATAGTCTTTTCATATAACCCCCTGATTATAGTACAGTTTTTAATAAACTGGTAAATGAGTGAGTGCTAAAATACATTGTAAATATTGCATTATTTCATCATTTAGTTGTCCTAGCCCCATTGTATTATACAAGAGCAAAGCTGAAAATATTTCAACCAATCAACAAAATCTGTTTAATATATGATCATTTAATGGATATGTTGGTGAATTTAAAAAATGGATAAAATGTTAACTAAATGGCTGCTTCACAATAAGCCTAAATATGAATTACAATTGAAATATTGGATGAGGTAATTTTATTGATGTCGTTATTCTCTTTATTTTTAAAGTAAGTAATTTTGAAGAAAAAAAAATTTTTTTGGAATATGTTTTATGTAAAACAACACGTGTTTTACACAAGAGCTGACATGATGAATAAATAGACTAAATGTAGTTAGTGATAGTGGTCACCTGTAGTGCATCATTAATATATTTCCCAGTGATCAGATTTTCTTTTATGAAAGTTACAGTTTACATTATAGTTGTGATAAAATGAAAATTTAAATTACTTATTTTATCATGATATTTTTTTCAACGTAGTTGAAAAATAGTTTCATGTTAAAATATGTAAAGGTAATAAATATATTAAAATGTTGCTAACTCATTAATATCACTCTATAAAATATTACTTTTAAATAATCTGCATATGTGGATTGTTATAAGCTAATTTGTTGCTGAATTATTATGCTGTTGTTGAGCAATAGGCATACAGTTCCGAGTTAGGACATCTAAAACACTTTATACTTTAGTGTGCTACTACATCAACATGTCATGAAACATAGAATGTAGGTTAGTTGGGTTTCTTTCTTGACTTGATAAATTTCAAATTCAGCCTGAGCTTTGTGTTGGATCAATAATAGCTTTATATGTGGGAAGTAGAGCACATCATAATGTTCTATGTGCTTTGCTGATTGTACAATACCCTTGTATGTATGATTATGACAATTGTGTAAAATAATACTATTAAATGATATGCATATTTAGTTTGTGGGGAATTACAACTTGTAGCTTTTAAATGGTTATTTCTTGATGTAAGCGTAAAGAAGTTGTATGTTTTTCTCTCTAGTGCTAGCATATGTTTCTTAAATATAGGTAAAAAAGCTAGTGCTTTTTGCAGTAAATATTAGATGTTTTTATATGGAAATATTCTCATTGAATCAGCAGAACATAATGCACTATGTATTAAAAATATGACTGTATTTATAATAGTCAGTTATATTACTAGTTACCATAAGGTTCTATTATGGACTTGCTGTTTTTATTATCATTTTATGAATATACTCGTACATCAAAAATGGTATAATACACAAAAGCATCAAACTTATTGTGAAATGTTTCTTTTTTGTCCTGCAGCAATTTGAAAGAAACATCAGCTGAAATTATTTTTGAGGTCCATGAATTTGGAAATGACAGTGAAGGTAATTACAACCAATCATTTCAGCACTTAAAAATCAAAACAATCTAGATAATCCTTTGGTTATTAGTGATTTATTTATATTGCATTGGGTTTTTGTTCGTGCTGTTATTAATACTATAAAAACTAAGATCAGGAATGAATAAAACATATTTTAAAATAATGGAGATCCTGTACATAAACATCAGTGATTACTTTATGAATTTTGGTTATAATAAAAAGATTTGCATGTTATTGTATATGAACTATAATACTATATTAAAATAGGAAATTTACTTTATAGCCATGACAGATTAAAAAAGAAAAACTTGTATATATATATGTATATTGACTGAGTGAAATGAGAAGAGTTTCATACTAGTTTTTTTTAAATTATGTAAAAATTTGTCATTCTATAATACATATGAATATTTTATTTGTCTACCTAAAAAATCATACCGTATAATTTGTTTTTTGTTTTAAAATTTTTATCGTTGTTTGTTTTCATAAGCTATAAATGTTTATGAATTAAAGTATTGGTGTTTGTTACCAGTAGAGAGTGTACAGTGAAAAGAGGAAAATATTGGAAAAACAATATAGTTAATAACTTTTATAAAACGATAGATGTAACTGTTAAATAAGAATTGCCATGTTAAAGAATTTTAGATTAATTCCTGTTGCTGTAATATTTTTAAAGAAATGGTTCAAGAAGGTGGGTTTTAGTTTATTATTACTGTGTTCTTGTTTAACAACAGAGCAATTGCTGGGCCTTGGCATGATAGGAGTGAAGGAGCTAATGAACAGCCCAAGCCAGAGGCAAGTCATTCCTCTTCAGTCTCAACCAATAGGAAGTGATTCTGTGACTGGTTCTCTTACAGTTGAGGTCTGTTTTGTCTTGTATATCTTCATTACATAATATGCATTTTCCTGGAATGGTGATGAAATTAGAAAACTATCAGTAATTTATGAATCGTAACCACTATAGTATACAAGTTATTATGTTTGACAACGTGTGTTGATGAAGAATTAGAATTGTTTATAAAATATTTTCTTCCAGTTTTTTCTCTACTTTCTGTCCCTTTGCAAAGTTAACATTCTATGATGAATGTAGTTGAATTATACAAACTTAGTCCTTTCATAATCTGCAGTTCCACTGGTTGATTGATATTTTTTTAACTTTTATTTGTTAAAGATAAAGAATTACAATGGCTGACTTATGATGTAAGTAATAGATATATTTTCATATTTATTATGAACAAAAAAACTGTGGTACCGAAGTTTACCACATTTGTGTTAACTGAAAGATCTCTTATTTTTTAAAGTGTACTAAATTCATGAAATATTGGAACATTTATCTCCCTATTCTTATACTAACTGATGCACATTTCTTCCTTGTGTTGTGTAAAAGACTTGGATTTTGTTTTTTAAATCAAATAGCAAAAACAATTGTGAGTCCATATGGATTTGAAATTTTATCAAGCATGTCACGGAGATGATAAAAAAAAAGATGAACAACAAATATAGGTGATACTATATTTTAGCTTTTCTGTTAATAGTGTATTTTCTTATGCTTTTGTGGTTGAGCTACCTGCAATCAAATTATTTCCCCTTGACAAGTGCATCTTGTGAAGGTGAATATAGCCTTGCAAATCTGGTGCCCCATGGGATTTCATGTATTTTAAGAAACTCGGCTCTCTGCTTCTTTTGTAAGCACTAAAAAGCATATGACTAGACCGCTGTACTGAAGGCTCACGCTGAACATTTTTTTTTATCCCTGTCCCACCAAACATGCTCGCCCTTTCAGCCGTGGGGGTATTATAATGTGGCACTCAATCCCACTATTCGTTGGTAAAAGAGTAGCCCAAGAGTTGGCGGTGGGTGGTGATGACTAGCTGCCTTCCCTCTAGTCTTACACTGCTAAATTAGAGACAGCTAGTGCAGATAGCCCTCGTGTAGCTTTGTGTGAAATTCAAAACAAACAAACAAACAAAACTTTTTTTATGGAGCCAGTCGGGTTCCCAAAACATGCATTTTTAGGGTCAGTCCTATAGCTTGTTGTAAAATGTACTCTGTGGTGAAGGTTATCAGAAAAATCACTGAATTAAATAGTGGATGTTATGTAAATTGAAAGGCAACTAGAGATATCAACATACCTCCATTTATTTTGTTGTGAACTAATATTTCATGAAAAAAACACAAGTCAAACCATTCCATTTTTTTTCAGACCACTTAAATGCTTTTTATTTCATATATGATCTTTAATTTCTCTCTAAAGCATGACATAACAACAACTTTTTGTTCCCCTTTAAAGTAGTGTCCTTTCCTAATAAAAAAATAATGAAAGAAAATCTTTGCATCACCGTAAGTGTAATCTAACCTTGCTCCCATATAACCCATTACCATTTAACTGATTCATATATGGCAATAAAATGTCAAACACTTTTGATGGAGAAATGGAAAAATCATACAATTTACATTACCACTAACTTTATAGCAGTCAGTTCTTTCATATCCTTAAAACAGCTGTTAATTAGTCATTCATGAATTTGAAATTGTAATAAGCAAAATTCTCAAATTAGCAACATATGGAAACCATGAAAATAGCTCTAAAATGGCTTAGGTGGTGATGAGTTAAACTTAAGTTAGTGTCCTTTCCTAATCAAAATAAATCACGCAAGGAAATCTAGTGTGCATCAGTGTCAATGTCCAATGATGTCCTAACATCCATTTCTTGGATTCTTCTTTCATCCCCTTCTTTGTCACTCTCCTGCACCTGTTTCTCATTCTGGATCCTGCCAGCATTTGGTCTCTTGTGCTAAGATTCTGAGTTTCAAAGATGGATAGCTGTTATGGGATCAAAGTCACTTATTGAAGGCATGTGCAACATGGCCAGAAGCTGATCAATGATTGTGTCAGCTCCCAGACAAGATCTCAGATTGGTCTTAATCATCTTCATCTTGCTGAATCTTCTCTCTGCCTCAGCAGAGCTGGCTAGTACAGACAGCATTAGATCAAAGAGGCCACAGATGTTAGGTAGCTTCTCTTTAACCCCAGGGATGATAGCAGCCCATGACTGCCTTTCTTGTTATGCCTGGTGAAATTAAGTAATGAAATAGATGTGAAAATGCATCAGAAAGACTAACATGAGAATTGCATTATTATTCTCTTTTTAAATCAATATTTTGGGTTAATTTAAAGTTATGTTATATTGTGCAGTGTTTTACCGATAATCAGGTGACAATTGGAATCGGTAGAATATGTAGAATTTCCCGATCATAGAAAACCGATTGCCTAGAAATTAAAAATAACACCACCCAGACCAATTTATTCACAACAATAATCTTCTGATTTACAAATATGCTTACAATCATGACCCTGTACTTTCTCAGTTAAATAATCTCTGTCTGTTTCTCATTTATTTACACAAGTTGATACATTGAATGAAAGAATTGTTAAGAAGCAATGCTCCACACATCACACCCATTTATTTATTGAACGTACATTAGCAAACAGTCGATAACAGCACCTTATGCACAGAGCTAATGCACACTGTGTGCATGCTGGAGATCTATGCTGACTTTTCCCGTGAAGTTCTCAGGATGATACGCCATGTGGCTCGCTGTTACTGTATTTTCATGCAAATAACCTGTGGGTTATATGTTAAATTAGTTTTCAAAAAAGTCAACTGTAGGGTATAATCATGTGCATGTAATAAAGTATATATTTTTTGTTTGTTTTTAAGACTGAAATTGCTAATTTTCTATTCCAAATATTCATTTATGTTGTTCTTGTTCAAAATGTGGAGTGATTCATCAATTGGTCAATAAGTACTTCTGTTAGCAATCCAAGTTATTCTCTGGTCAAAGAACAAAGTATAAATACAAATACTTTTGACTATATTTATCAGTATTTGAATAGATTACAATTGCGACTTAATTCAATTGCTTACATATTCCAAGACGAGTAGGTTTCACTTTCAGTGTGTCCCATAGCATCACCATAACAACCTTTAACCTGTGATTGGCTTCACCACGTGACATAACCACATTGAATCTCTGTTTAATGAAGGTTTTTTTGTGTTACTGTAATGTAAAAGGATACTTTAACTGTATTTTTCTTCCAAAATTTGTATGTTTCAGTGGTTTGCAGGGTATACATGAGTGTGGGTGATACGTGCTTAAAAGTTTCTTAAAGCACTTTTTTTCCTCAGGTACAGGGTATACCAGGGAGTGGGTTATTTACATGAAAATATGGTAGTACCATATTGTGTATTAGATCATTGTTTGGGGAAATCACTGAAGACTGCATGACAACAGAGTAATTGGAAATTTGGAATATCCCATTACTTTCCAATGGGGGGGGGGGTTGTCAATTGTTTGAATTGTGTATTTCACTGTCGGAAATGTCTATAAGTTGAAAGTGGTAAATGGGTATATAGAAATATTTACAATATAATTAACCTATTGAACAGCTATGGAACATTCCATTTCATCATTTGGCAGTCCCACTATTTATTAATATGCATAGTTAGTTGTGGCACGACAAACATGATTGCTGATTGTTTGGATTGCTTGTGAATGAGAAAAACTAGATATTTTTTGAATAAAAAGCAGATGGTTGAAAAACAAGAATCACGAAGATGGGCAATTATAGTAACCGAATGCCCTTTGCACCCGTTACTAACTACAGAATGTACACGTCTTTATCGACAACAAAAGCTAATATTTCATGATTTTAGACAAATGTCAAAAGTGACAAAGTGTAAGTGCTGAGATTTGAAACACATTCGATAAAAGCATGTGTGTCTAGCCGGAAGTTGTCATTTCTTTTTCCTTTTTTTAAGGTTGGCTTGTTGATCATTGCCTATGCAATAAGGATACAATTAGGAGCATTTTTTAATAAGGCCGATTTAAAAGAAAATTTTTTGGTAACCGATTTGAAGATTCCTCTCTTTATGAAAGAAAACTGCATCACGTCTTCTTTCTGAACATAGATTTACTGAAATCTTCTTTTTTTCTAAATGCAGCTTTACAGAAATAATTTTCCTGCAACATTCTTAACGTATTATAAGACAAAGACAAATAAAATTTTAATCAGTTAATCCATTCTACATGTTTAATTCTTAAATATTTATCAAATGTTCTTTTAAGCCACCTAAATTGAATGTTTGCATATCACTAAATACTTTTCTGATTATTCCTTTTTGCATCAGTATAAAATGTCTTGAAATAAAATCTAAAAAATAAAATCTTTTTAGACATTACCTGGTGATAATAGGATAATAATTCACATTATTAGAAAAATCAAAAAGTCTAAGCCACTTTGCTTCAGAACTTTTAAAGCTGCCAAATGAGCTGATTATTTAAAAATATTTATTATCTGTCTATGTATATATGAAGGTAATTTTATTTTTACAAATTGTTTGTGTGATTTCAGTTCCTAATCATGGAAGGAGGTGAAGTGCCGGTTGTTGCTAACACTTCTGGAATACAACCTGGGCTTCTAGAAAAAACCAATAACCAATTAACACAAGAAGACAATGTAATCACTACTTCCACACTACAAAAAATAGAAAGCATGGAAGGTACCACTTTTATTGTACATTCAAATATTTTTCAACCAGTTTTTTCTCCTTAAGTTTATTTATAATTTTTGTTGAACATTTAAAGGAAATTTTGCAACATTAACTTAATTTTTTTAACTTAAAAATGACTGTAATGGAAATACTTAATTTTGCGAAATTCAGAACCAGGATATGGAAATTAAAAGAAAGTGTTCATTAAGTATTTTTATGTAGATATGTGCTGTGATAATTTAAAGATGCAATATCCTTGTATACACTTACAGGGTGGGGCAGAAGTGACTACACAGTTGTTTCATTTAGAACAGTTTAGCTATTACTCTGATACAAAAATACTAGTATTATTTTCTATTGTTTG